CCTTCAGTGAGGTCTCATTTGTTGTTCTACTTGATGGGACGTAATGTGAGTTTGGTTCTGCTTGGCTGGCAGCTCCCCTGAGGACTGGGTCGCTTGCTTCTTCATTCAAAAGCTCACAATGTGAGGATAGAAGCAGAGTTTGTGTGATATGGTAAATATGCTTTGCTGATGACTGGTAGAGGGTTACGGAATTGAATTTGTGCCTTTTTTTCTCGCTTGTCTTTGTTTGTACTTATGATCCAATGCTGGCTTCCTGAGACTGCGTACCTCACATTTCCACTGGGCAGGTTTCTTTCTCACCTTTCCCTGCTTCCCACACCATCTCTCCACAGCAGGAGCTCTGCCTAATCTGGGCTCTCCCTCGAGCATGTGAGGTGCTACCCTAGGGAGGACTCTCAGTCTCCTTGTCTGGGGCCCACAACAAAGGCTGACTGACCCCAGGGAAGCTGCAACACATCCACGTGCTCTTTTGTACCCTGTCCCTGAGGGGACCCATAGATGACCTGTAAGTTTGCGAGCACTTGGCAGTGTGCTGCTGCCTGTAGCAGATCTACAGAAAAGTGTTTTGCTGGCATATCCACTTAAGGAAGAGGATAGTCCAAGGCTGCCTGTGCAAGTCTCACTTCACTGCAGCTGGCCCGTTTCGTTCAGACATCTGCTGTGCTGATGGAGAAGGTGCCACTTTCAGAGCGGGGTTGCCTCAAGCACCAACCACACAGGAACCAGCCTCTTGCAAATCAGCAATTTACAGTCCAACCCCTTCTCCCACTTCTGTGTGTATGTACTGCAGGACCAAAGAGGAAGGCAGTTTGTGGGGTGAGGGGGTAAACTGTGCTTCCACTGAATCCCATAAAGGCCATGCAATTCAATGGGGCCATTTTTTATTCCTGCTACTTCCTGGCCTCTGGCATCTCTGGGGCTGTAACGATACTGGTTGTGGTGCAGGACTGTGTGAGAAGACAGGTTTCTGCTCCAATGTCTTCCTGAGTATTTTCTGTTCCTATGGCAAAACGGATGTTGGAGAGACTTGCTGTAGAATCTGCCTTGAAAGTCTTACCTATGAGATGCCAGGCCCTGCTCCGTGTTAAGTGAAATTGTCTGCAGCTCATTAACATCAAAGCATTTTCTCCACTGGTCTGGGCAGCTCAGTAGTAACCAGCAGATGAACCAGAGAACAGCTACACTCTCCACTAAGCTTTGCCTGCAAACAATTAACATCAAAGGGGAGCCACTGTGAAACAGGGGAAAAACAATGCTCCCACTGTAGCAAGTCTCATGGCTGGTGGGGAAGTGGGGGGAGGCTGAAGCTCTGTCCCAGCTAGAGATTTTGCAGGAGTGAGCAGTGGAAGGGCTGCTGTGGCCAGCTGCTGGTTTCGGCCAATAAAATGGTCAATCCGGTTTGGTTTGAACAAAACTGCCTGCTGGTGTTGATGGCAGCATGGTGCAAGTTCTGGTGTAGCAGACCCAGTCAAGCCTAATTCTGGAATCAAGTCAGATCTGCTGCTGCCTTGGTATGTCCATGACTGCTCACTGAGCTGTCGCCCTTGATAGGTCTCCTGAGGCCAGTCCCGGTGTTCTTTATACCCTTCTTCTCTATTCCTCTGAACACAGAAGTTTTGGCTAGCAATTCCAGTTGTTGCTGCCCATTTTTTAAGTGGACCTTGACCCTCTGTCCTTCCTCACAGGAGGCCTGTGGAATTAAACCGTTATTTAGATTACAGGACCATTCCCTTCCTCTAGCTCTCAAGCACTTTCTCCTGCCTTATGTACTAGATCCTCTGGTTCATGCTTTCCTCATCCTCTTCCTCTCTGCTTTGGCGGTGAGTGAGAAATCCAAATTGTTGGTATTTGTCATGCTAGCAATCTGTGATTAGCCCTCTGGGGGCAGGAGGGTTTGGAAAATGACTTTATTCGCATACGTGTCCTAGTCAGTGATCAGAAGCTTTTTGGTATGCGGTGCACCAGCACAGAATAGAAATGTGGTGCTGTCTCAAAGAGTTTACTATCTAAACATCAGCCTAGGAACAGAGGATTGCAAAAAACCAGAACAACAAAACTGGAACTCTCTATTAATAATTGCTGGGGGTCAAGATTAGAGATAGTATAACCACAGCAAGATGTGCCTGCCAGTGCACGCTTCCTTCCTGCTAGCTCTGCCGTGGGAGTGCTAACCTCCAGCCTCAGGGCAGATGGTAGAGCTGCAGGGCACAACCAGAACAGTTAAAGCCACCAAGGCTCACGAGTCAACACTGTAGGATGTGACTTTCAGGGCAAGGTACTTTCTCCAGAGTGTGGGTGCGCTTTGTGGAAAAGCATAACTAATTCTGTTCATGCTTGCTCAATAAAAGTATGTTCAAAACCCATCAGGCACACTGAAAGACAGCTAATATCATCTGGGCAATATCCAAGCTGCCGCAGAAGGAGAAACTATGGAAATTTGTCTTGTCCAGCCTAGAAAAAGCAGGGCCATGTGGAGGCTGTGCACAGAATTGTGTTAGGGGAAGGCTGGGGAGAAAAGATGCTTAAAAGAACATTTCAGCATTGCCTGGGTGTAAGTGGATTGGGGAACATGAGCCACTGGTATGTCAGGAGCAGGTCTGCAGCCACTAAGGAAGGGAAATTTGGGGGAAGCCTCCTGAAAGTAGATGGTGGAAGCAAGAAAACAAATTTGCTCTGAAATGGAGATTGATAAATTTAAGACTGGCATCATATGAACCAGCTGTCTGTCACAGCAGGGATGCAAACTGAGCGTAGAAAACTCAAGGAGATAGTAGCCGCTTGACGGCCAGTAGCTATGCTGCCAGCAAGCTCATCATTGTGAAGTTTATTTTGTGGGCATCGGAGCAAGAGAAGAATCTTGCAAGGAAGAATCTGCAGGAAGGCTCTTGTGGAGACCACAGTGGGCAGACACTAGTTTTGGTGTATCTGGACTGATAAGATGCACCTTCAGCGACCATTAGCCTCTCTAGCAGTTTATCCACCTGCTGTTTTAGCCACCATCTAGACTGCAGACGGAAGTTCCCTGCTGGAGTCTAGAGCATTCATGTTGCAATCCTTTTGTTTAAATCATCTGCCTCTCAGGGAAGAAGTACTTCTGTGGTTAGTACAGTGCCTAACAGACTTCTGAACTGGCTCTAGCAAGAGGCATGTCTGGACTTCCGAGTGGAAGGAAGATTCCCCACAGCCAGCATAAGGACTCTGGAAATGAAGACACGTAGACTCGTAGACTCGGGTGGCTCATTGCACTGGAAAAGGAGTGGAACAAAGACCAGGATATCACCAACAACTGGGGTGAGGTGCACCTAAGGGCATCATTCCTGAGCAGAGCTGCCCACAGAGCTTTCCTGCTGTTTGTAGCAGAGAAATTCTCCATAGGTCATGCTTTCCTTCTTTCCACTGCTAATGACTTTCAAACCAGGACTGGGATTCCCTGGTCACTAAACCTGTCTGCTCTGTTCATGAAAACAAGCTTCACATTGCCCTCTTCACAAGGAAGCCGCATTTTGAAACAGACTTTTGCCTCTTGCTACTCTGGTTGCTGTCTGCTCTGTGAAGTTCCACCTCCTACAGTTAGAGACCATCCTCTGACGTTCTTCACAAGGGTATTAAGAGCCAATTAATAATCTGTCCTTATGCTACCATTGGGCTTCAGCTAGCTCTGTCCCTCCCTTGGAATTTACACTTTTTCCCCACTGGAGCTTCCTCAGTGCACTGGCAGAGCAACCACACCTCAATTTTGCTTTCCATTTGCCGGACTAGTCAAACTGAGCTGTCCTGGTCTATTTTTGTAGGACAGGCTCATTGCTCTCCTACCTACGTGCACCAAAAGCCTGCTCTGTGCTTCTTGGAGTTCCCTTGGAATAGGACAACTGGCTTACTGCAGCTGTGACTGCACCTGAACAGCGGCTTAAACACTTCTCTATCTCCAGAGGAAATACCTTATCTGGGACATCCTATGACCCCATCTGCATACAGCCAGCTTTGACCTCTCTGCTTGTCAAACTTCCTAAGCACATGTGGCTTAGCAAGGCGCGGGGAATGGCTGTGGTGGTTGGGGTGGGGGAATAAAGGCCACAACTCCTGGGCTCTGTCTCTGGCTTTGTGGCAGGGTTTGGGGTAAGGCATTTCACCTTTCTGAGCTCATGGCCCGACTTCGCAGAGAGCTGGTGCTGATGTTTTCCTCTTGCACAGGCATCAGGCAGAACCATGCCTTCCCTTGCCTATGGCTGCGCTCACCGCTTGCCACCAGAAATGGTGTTATTGCATCATCAACCCGCTTACAATGTCTGAGCTCACGTTGGAGGGAGGTCTTTGTTCCTGTGGTGTAAAGGGTAAATGGATACCGCGTAAGGTCTCAGTCCCACTTGCCCTGTAAAACACAGGGGGCGGTTGGTTGTGCCAGGGAGCTGTCACTGCCGGGTTGGCATCAGGAGGCCATTGCAGGCGAGCATCTTTCCTTTTCATCACAGCCACCGGCAGACCTGGCATTTTTAACTACACTGTGGAGCGAATGGGGAGATTTTTCAACTCTTCCTGACAGAAACCTAGGTGGCCCCCTCAGGGGTGGGCTGCCTCCTTGCGGGGACAGTGACCCACTTGGGGTGGGATGTTCCCTGAGGGACGGTCCCTCAGGGGCGGGATGTCCCCCTCAGCGGTAGTGACCGCTCTGGCGCCCCCCGAGGGGAGGGGCGGCCGCTCCCTGAGGGAGGGCGGGGAACGGGGCACAGCGCCCCCCAGCGGGCGGGTGCGGCGGCGCCGCACGTGCGGGCAGGTGGGCAGGGAGGGGAGGGGGAGGCGGGCGCATGCGTGCGGCGGGAAGGTTGGGGGGGGGGGGGGGGCGGAGGTGGGGGGGTAGGCAGGCGGCGGGGCGTGGCGCGGCCCGGCGGCGCCTGCGTGGCGGCGCGAGGCGGGCGCTAACGGCGGGTGGGCGTGGCGCGGCGCGGCGCGCGGCCCTTCCTTCCCGTCCCTGCCCCCCCCCCCCCCCCCCGGCCGTGCCCGCCGCCGCCCCCACCCCCACCCCCGCCCGCCGCCCAGAAGATGGCGAGCCCGTGCGGGCGGCAGCAGTGCTCCATCGAGAGGCGCGGCGTTCGCCACCAGCTCGATTCGTGGCGACACAAGCTCATTCACTGTGTAGGTGAGGGACGGCGGCGCGGCGGGGAGGCCGGGCCCGGCGGCGGCGGCGGGGGGAGGCTCCGCCGGGATGGTGGGGGGGGGGGGGGGGCGGCCCGTGAGGCGAGCGGCGCCGCGGCCTGCGGGCCCGCCCGCCCTCCCCCCGCCGGCGTGGGCCGCCGTGAGGCGAGCGGCGCCGGGCCGGGCCCCGCCCTTCGCCGGGAGCCGTAGCGGGGCGGGGGGGGGGGGGGGGGTCCTGCCCTGCCCTGCCCTTTTGTGCGGCCCCTGTCAGCGCCGCGCCCGCTCCGCCCGGCCCGGCCCGGCCCGGCCGCGGCCCCTTCAAACTTGTTTACGGCGGGGAGCGGCCCGCCTGTCACTGCCCATCCGCCGCCGCGGGAGGCGAGTCCGGCCCGGCCCGCCGGCCCCCGGCCCGCCGCCGTGAGGCGAGGCGGGAGGGAGGGAGGGAGGGAGGGAGGGAGGGAGGGAGGGGAGGCCGCGGAGCCGGCGGCGCGCCCGCCCCGCGCCCCAGCGGGAGCAGCTCGGGGGGGGGGGGGGAGGCTCGGGGAGGCGGGGAGCGCGGTGGCGGGGCCGGCGGAAAGTTGTGGATCGGGCTGCCGGATTGATGCTGTGAATCCGGAGCGGGGCCGCGGGGGTTAAAAGGATGTGTGATTGCTTTTCTCTTCTTCTCCCTCCCCCCCCCCCCTTTTTTTTTTTTTTTTCCTTCCCCTCCTCCTCCTCTCTTGTGCACGTTTGTTGTTATGCAGGCTCCTTGCAATCGAATATTTGGGGTTTTTGCAAAAGAAGGCCCTGATGCCCCTTCATCTCTAGTAACTTTCTCCGTTCAAAATACAGATTTTTGCCCTTTTCTCTTTCCCTAGTGAGAAATTGAGGGCTTTTCTGTGGGTCCCAAAATACACAAAAATGCCAACTCTGGGCAAGGAATTCGGTGTCTGCAAAGATAGTAAAATAGGTTTGACAGCAGTGGGCTATACACTTCCACAGTAATCTTAAAAATCTCTAACCAGAACGCTGGTATGTCTCTTCTTGTTTGGCCTACTGCTTTTAATTGAGCACAGACCCTCGTTTTATTTTTAAATATGCAAATATGGCCATAATCTGCCAGTGACTGCTCAGTGTAGGTAATCTGTAATAACATTCACAGATTCACTTTAGTTCCTTGTGTGCAGAGTTAAACCTCTTATTGTCAGTTAGCTCAGCATCCTAGTTCATTATCAGGGATTTGAAACACCATTTTTGGCTACACCAGGAGTTGTAACTGCTGCTGCATATATTTTTGGCTTCATCTAAATGTTTAAATTTCTGTAACATAAAAGTGTGCGCTAGATGTTGTTAACTACAAATTAATATGAGCAATTAACTTGCTTAAGCATAAAGCGGTTCAAGGGCAATACGTTGCTGAGAAACTCGGCCTCTAAACAAAAGTGCTGGGTTTTCTTTCCAACCAATTAATGATGCTTCTAGATCCAGTTTATGGGGCTTTATTTTGATTCTAGCTTTGCTATGTTACGAACGTTTTGTTGGCTTTCACCTCTGATTGAACCAGATTTATTTTACTTCTATTTCCTTTTCTCATCTCCTCTTACCTCGGCTGCTGGGGGTCACCTGTTCTAGTCCTTTCTAAACTCCTTACTTGCAGCATATCATCTTGTCTTCCTCTTGCTGCCTGCTGCTTTGTCGTTGGGTCCTTCGGTCCCCCTGTGGAGCTGTCCTGCTGCTCAGCGTTTAACCAAATATCTGTGAGGACAAGAGTGGGGTGGAGAAGGAAGTGGGGAGGGGGGAAAGGACAATTTCAAAACTGCTATTCAAGATTTTGTATTTCAGTGAAATGCAGGAAATGTGTCTGTTCATTATGCTGCTCTTTGGGAAAATCTTGGGTAGCTAGAAAAGTTCGTGTTATCTATAGACTCAAGGAAAACACCATGTTATTAAAGTTCTTAGCAACCCTAAGTGCTAAAACTTAAAACAAACACCACCACCCCCTGCCACCCCCATTTGTACACACCCTGTTCCACTTCCCTAAAGCCATTTAAATTGCCAGCTCCTGGAGAAGTTGCTTTCTCCTCTATACCTTCCATATCTCTTCCTCATGCTTAAATTAGATATACGTTTTGTTCCTCCAAAACATTTCCCCTCTGTGAAAGTCCCTCTGTGTGTGTTTAACAAAAGATATTGTGAACACTGCTAAACACTGGGATTTTTTGGAGGTAAAGTACAAAACCATTTAAAAAAAAAAAGTCCAAAGTGTAACAGTGCTATGTGACTTTTATCTTGATGGCACTGTGTCATAAATAGTTTCAACCTCAAATTGATCAGCTTTATGAGATCTCTGGACCTGCCCTGTTCCTAGTATGAATCTTGCATAAATTGTTGGGTCATGTAAATATGTTGTTACCTTTTTTGTTTTTGATATTTTTTCACAGAATTATAAAAGATTTATTGCACTAGCCCAGGATGTCCAGCTGAAATTATGCTGTGATCTTAATCCCTTGCTGCAAATACATCTCTTTTGTCTTTTTAAGTGAGTTTTGACAACGTTCCATGAGATTTGGAAGTTGACCTGTTAAATGATGTGACGTTCTGTTTCGCCTTGGCTGTCTGTAGAAGTCTCTAAGAATTTATTTGCGTAATAAATGCTGATAGATAAATATGGGGAGGAAGAGAATGGGAGAATCCTTGTTGCTTCAGAAATACTCATTCATATTTAGTGCTGAAAGTAAATCTGAGGTGTGTGGGATTCTCTGTGCTAGCATTGTTCCCTGAAAAGTCATACACAGTCTGGTAGTCAGAAAAATAAAGCCTGTGGTTTGAACGAGTGCATTTGGCAATAAAAATGGCTTAAGTAATTCACTTTCCCCTCTTGTTCTTTGCTTCTGCAATAGGCTGCTCTTTTGGACTGTGGCTTCATGACAGTTTGTCAGACTAAGCTTGGGCTCTCAGGGGGAGCAAAAACACAGGAGGGCTGAAGGACTGACCACCTCTGGCCACAGGGAGCCAATTCAGGGGAGATGTGCTAGGAGAGAACATCATCTTTTGGAGGGAGTAGAACAGTTTTCTGCTAGTATAGCTCCCTGAACTGTCTTGTTGTTGGGTCAAGCAAATACCAGTGCTAGCACAAGGAGGAGGGTGGGAATGCATAGCTGGTGGAAAGGAAAAGAGTGAGAAGGCAGCAGTAGAGATACAGATCATCTTGAATTGTCAGAGTTGCACCTTTGGTTGTGCCAGCGCAGCTTTTTGTGGGAGGTAGCTCAGGGAACTGATCTGCCTTGAACGTTCCTTCCTTGTCATGTGTTTCAAGCCCCTTTTTTGGAGGGAAGGAGGTGGTGCAGCTGGTGGGGGACAGGTCTGTGAGCAGTTCTGTTGATGCTGTGGTGTATTTGTGAGGGAGCAGCCTGCTGTGGCCCGAAGGTGGAGGGAAGTGTGGAGAAGGGGTGTCTAAGCTTTCTTTGCAGTGAGATGCATTGGGCTGTTGAACCCCAGCATAGGAATGTAGCTGGGAGTGGCATACGGTGTCTTGATGCCCTTGTAGGACTTTGATTCTAGAGACCTGATATGCCAGATGATAACTATTTGATGCTGACATATGTGTTCTCTGTACCAGTCTTGAGTGTTAGCATCTTTCTCAATGGCCAAAAGCAGATACTGAGAGACAAATATATGTGATGGTTTTATTTTTTTAATTTTTTTTTTTCTCCCCCTCCCAGCCTCCAGTCACCTGCTGTTCAGACACTTGCTGAATTGGAAATGGTTGATGAGATTGGATCAGCTAAGGAATGGGGATTTTGAGGGAGGAGAGAACCCACAGATCCCTGGAACCCTCCTGACACCTTTTATACAGGCAGTAATAGCATTGCAATGCTGTGTGGTTACTGGAGTGATAGTCTGAGGCGGTCGCATGCATTTCTACTAGCTGGTGATGCTTGGCCCTTTGTTAAATATTAGCTGTACTCTTAGAGACTCCCTGACTGAATTACAGCCTGTGTTGGGGGGGTGTGGGCCCGGAGGGAATGTATTAATTCTCTTCAGCAGTGATCCTAGTTTTGGGAGCAAAATGATGATTTAAAGGAAAAACCCGTAACATTCACATAAGATTTCCAATCATCTTGAGCTCTGTCTCTGTTTCACTGAGATGCTGTTTTGCTGTTGATTTTACTCTTAAGCTGTCAAAATAAGCTGAAATAATTTCTTTTGTTTGTTCTTTTTTTCTTTTTTTTTTTTTTTTTTTTAATTGCTGCTGTTGAAATACTGCAACCTAACTACCAGATCTGTTTCTGTGTACTAATTTGTTGAATAGTGGTGGTCTTCTGTGACCTTAGATACTTAGGACTAAAGTGTGGATCCTGTGGAAGAAATATGATATATCAGGAAGTATTAGAAGCTAATATTAATCAAGAGAAGGTGTATAACAGTTGAATAATTCTGAAATCTTTATTACATTTTCTTATCTTGATTATTGCTTGGTTCCAGCCTGTATATGATATGAATTAGCTGCTGCTTCCAAACAGTTAACTGTGTTATCTCATTGTTTTGGAAGCAGGCTTGAGTCTCCAAGTGTTTAACGTAGTTTTAGTTCAAAGGGCGGATTGTATTTCTTTGTTCCAAAATGAGAAAGCTTATTATAGCCCTGATATTGGTGAAAAATAATAATAGAAAGCAAGTTAAGTGCTAAAGTAGAAGTTTAAATGAAGGGCTATCCTAAACTGGTATCTGTTTTAGATATGCCCCTTGCTGTGTCCACAGCAAGTGTGTAAGTGGTACTACGTGGCCTTATTCCAACATGCATGTAATGTAGATGCAGCTTTCAGCTTTTTTTTTAAATGAATATGCTTCTGTTGTACAGAAACTTTAAAGTATAGTACCTGAAGGCTTGTTCAGGAAGATCTGGGCTATACACAAACATTTTTGCTTATTGGCAGGATGGTTATGGAGAGGGAGAATTACCCTTTTATGACAAAGTTATGCCAGGAAAAAAGTCGAGGCAGCTGTCATTTAAAAATAAAAATCTTT